CATAGAACACATAAAACACATATCACACATAAAACATATAACACAACCTTCACATTCCATAGTAATGATAGTCTGAAGGATCACAAGCTAACCTCTAGGACATTTTCTCTTAAGTCAAAAGTAGGTCATCTGAAAATCTCCAGATGTATAAAAATCCAATAACCTCCATGACTGACAGTCACAGATTATGGGAGATATAATTCCAGAATATCTGGATGCCCTAAATAGCTTGTCCCTGTCCTAAGTGACCTCCCCAGAACTTTGTAGAAGTCTACCTTGAAGGAGTTACAAACTTTTTTTTACTTTTAAAATGGATGAATGACCCCACAAAAATTAAAATTTCAGTTTATACTTGGTTAACTTTGTCTTTGCATCCAATGAGTAGGCACTCTAAAATGTAAATCACATCAACATCTCACAAAAGTTTTACTGTGACTCTCACGCTGTGCTCTTTTTGATTTTTAAAAAGGATGAAAATCATTACAACTCATATTTTTAAAATGGATGAACTGTAGAATAATTATATGTTCAGTCTATGCTTGATTAATTACATTTTTGCATCCAATAAATTGGCTTTTTAAAATGTGAACAGAATCAAAATCACAAACATGCTTTGCTGTGGCTCTCACACAGACTGTTCTTATTCAGATGTCCATTGGTCTGTATGCACTCCAGAATTAATACTAATGTATGTTCTCATTAATCCCTGGTAAAAAATTAAAATTAAAATTTCTTCTCACCATGACAGCTCTGGTTCTTTTAATCTTTTATCAGACCCTAGATGTTTTCTCTTTTGGATTACTTAACTGCTGGATTATAAAACCAGAACACCATCTTTATATCCTTTCTGCAAAGAAAGAGGAAAGTCATAAAGCGAAAAATCACATGGCCACACCGACTTACGATGACAGTTCCAGCAGTGGTCGTTAAGCAAATCACGTATGGTCATTAAACACAATGTCATGTGACTGCAACTTGTGACTCCCTGCCAGCTTCCCCATTGACTTGCTTGTCAGAAGCCGGCAATGAAGGTCACAAATGGTGATCATGTGACTGCAGGATGCTGCGACTCGTAATTGCATGCCAGTTGCCAAGTGCCAAATCATGATCACCTGACTGCAGGGACACTATGATGGCTGCAACTCCGAAAAGTGGTCTCCTCGTTTAGCACCATCATAACTTCAAACAGTCACTGAACAAGTGGTCGCTAAGCAAGGACTACCTGTATACTTACAGCTTATTTGCATAACAAATTAAGTAATATCTTATTTATTTGGGTTCATATACCGCTCCAACTTCCAAAAGACTCTGAGAGGATTACATACCCTCTATCAGTAAAAATGTTGTAAATTATTTGAGTAACCCCAGTGCTCAAGGAACAGCAAAAACTTCAAACAAAACAAACAAAAAAGCTGAGTTTATTCAAAGATATGGATAATATGTAGTTCATAGTATATCTGATTGATTTGAATAAAGATAGAAAATACAAAGCTGTAGTTCTATCATTTGATATAGAAAACTTGATAGATTTATCAAGTGCCTGATAAAATTCAGACACTATATGAATAAATTTGGATTTCCGAAAGGACTTATAAAATGACTCCAGATTTTGTATATGACCCCCATATTTAAGATAAAGCTCAGTTGTCTTTTTCATATACTGTACCTTTTCACTATAAATGTATTAAACAAAGATGTCCACTTTTATCTTTGATTTTTGATATTTGTTTAGAATCCTTAGTTTATGCTATTACAGAGGATCATCATATTAAGAGTATTTTGCATAGTTCATTAAAATATGGATTAATATTATATGCTGATAGTTTATTGTTTATTTTTGAACTTCACAATTCTGCTTCTGATGCACTTGGGTGATTTGCAGGATACTGTTAATTGCTGTAAGTTGGAACTGATGGCAACTGATGGCAACAGGCAAAGATTTGCTTATTAATACATTAGGTCATTACCATTTTCATATCTGTACTGCACTGATTCACTTTTAGGTATTCCTATCCCATGTGACATTTCCCAAATAATTACATTAAATACGAATAAGATATATAAAGAGGTTTATTTGGATATTGGCAGAAGGGAGTCTTTAAACCTTACACTGAGGGGTAAGGTATGGTAAACTCTCAGATGAATGTAGTTCCCAAAATTTTTAATATTTTGCTCAGAATTCCTATACACATATCTGAAAACACTTTCAAAAACTCATTACATTTTTCTGTAAATATTTATGGGGTTCTTAGATTCTGAAGATATATTTGAAAAAGTAATTATTAGTTTCTTTGGCTTTGGTTTCCCAAATTTGAATTACAGGAAGTCCTCAGGTTACGATGGCAGTTGGGACCGGGCTTGCCACTGCTAAGCAATGCAGTCATAAAATGTGATGTCGTGTGACTTCATTGCTTAGCAACAGCAATCCCAGCAGTCCCAGTTTTGTGAACCCCAGGATTGTGCAGGTCATTAAGCGGGAAAAGGCAGGAGCCCCAGGTAAGGAGCACAGGGGGGTGGGGGGATGCTGCAGGAAGGCATTAGGGAGAGCAGGAAATCTGGCGAGGGCTGCAGGTAGGTGCTAGAGAGACTGGGCAAGCTGGCAAGGGATGTGGATGGGTGCTATGGAGCACAAGATCTCATGCTCCATAGTGGGGCTCCTTGGGAGAAAAGTGGCGGGACTGACTTATGGGAGCAACTTGCGACCTTCCCTGCCGGCTTTCCTATTGACTTTGCTTGTGGGAAGCTGGTAGGGAAGGTTACAAATGGCAATCATGTGACCGCAGCTTGCTGCACTGTCATAATTGCGAGCCAGGCACCAAAGCGCCCAGTTTGCAATCACATGACCACGGGAATGCTGCAATGGCTGCAACTATGTGTCCCGGTGGTAAGTCCCCAATGTTCAGTGCCATTGTAATTTTGAATGGTTGCTGAGCGAGTGGTCGTAAGTCAAGGATTACCTGTATACCATCATGCATACCCTTTGACTAATACCAAATTTCAGATGACTTTGCTTATCATAAATACTCCTTCCTGGACCCTGTTTAAGGTTGAAAATATAAAATACTAGATATATCTCCTGTCACTATTACATCCATTCAAAATACTATTTCTGAAAAATTGCATTTTGATGCTTTCTCTCATGCCATATTGGCACTATGAGGTAATCTAGCCCTTAAACTTGATTTAATAAAATATGGAAGATTTGGTTGGATGCTGGGATTTTTACTTTAGATCAGTTATTGGATGATAAGGATATGTTTCCATCATTTTCTGTGTTAAAGAATGAATATCATTTGTCTGTTGGCACAAACTGGCAGTATTTATAGCTATAATGTTTATTGACATCTCTATTTGTAGTAGCAGCATTTTCTGCTTCAGAGACATCTAAAGTATTAGATGTTATCACTAAATCTTATGAAACCAAAAGCCTATAGTTAGTTAAATACTTTTTATCAATAAATCAATTTGATACGCAAATTTTAAAGACTGAATGGAACAAGGAATTGGAGATCCCCATTTCGAGTAAAGAACAGGAAAATGTCTTAACGACTGTATAAAATGTTAATAGATCTTAGAATATTGAACAAAAAATAATACTTGAGATTATCTTTGAATTTGTATGGAAAAGGAATGAGTAAATCATTGTGTTATTAGAGATAAAGTGGGAATAATACTTTGTTGAAGACATTTGTTGTGATGTCCTAAGATTGTTATGATCTAGGAAGAAACTCTGAAGTATATTAATTTGACTTTAGGACAGTATTTAATATTTTTGACATACATATTCTTTTGAACAATGAACTTATTACATGGAAATGAATAGCTGGACAATTGAAATAAATTCTCCATGTCCTTTATTCTGATGAGAGACTAGTTCTCCAACACTGGAAAGACAAATTTGTGTCCCCAGTAACTCAGTGTGTTGAATAATTTATTGTACTCATAATTTATGAGACTTAGTCTTAGATTATCTATGGACAACAGATACCAGCCTCCACCACACATTACAGCTTTGATCAATCAAGGCTTTGACATAATACTTTTTAGAAACGTAGAGGAATAAACTAGGATTATTTATTTACCACTTGAATTATTCTATATACTTTGTGCCATAATAGCAACTCTTAGCATAAGCCTACTGATCAAGAATATATTCTTGAGAAGAAATCTCTAAATCCTAAGGGACTTGGGTCAAGTAAATCTGCAAACCTGGGAAACCAAACTTGGGGAATATGCAGTTATGGCAAAATTAACAGTATACAGTACATTCAGAACAGAAATTCGATTACATTTAAGCAAAAATTCTTCCCCCATATATCATATGTAACACAACGCAAACTCAAGACACTTCATGTATGGTTTTTAAGGGGGAAATAACTGACATAAGATACTAATTGAAAACAATTTCAATCTTTATAAATATGTTGATGCAATCATCAGTGGGGTACTGCTACAGTATTTGCATCATTTGTACCCTTCGGTGAACCAGTTTTCAGCCACCGATCCATTCTTGCAAACTGCTGGTCAGGGGAAAGCAAGGCTAAGACATCAAGCAGACTCTGGCTGATTGTTAATGGATGCACTTTGATACTCCAAAGAGGAAATGTGCTGCCTTACATTTTGTTAGGTGACTGATCTTGAAAAAGCTAAGCAGGTTCAGGCCTTGTTAATATTTGGACGGGAGATTATCGGAAATCCAAGAGTTACAGGTTAGACTGAAAAGTTGTAAAAAAAAAAAAAAAAGTCCCAGAAAAAGGCAACGGGAAACCTCTGCTGTACTCCTGCCAAAAACCCCCCAAGGGTATGTCTAATTACAAGGACAGAAGAGAGTTTCCTTTTTTACAGGGGAGGTATATAACAGATAACAAAACACTGAACTACAGTAAAGCTTCCACTTGGGAACCTCAGCATAGCCTTATACAGTATTTTTATTCAATTTGCTGAACTGTTTAAGTTTAAAAGCGTGAGGGGAGGGTCAAATTCAAATCTATGTATATGACCAAATAACCGACGCTCTGTTTTGCTTTTTCTTTTAAAAAAGGCAAGAACTTCCTGAAAACTCAAACCGATACCTTCTTCGGCGACTTTCGGGAGACCTTTTTTTTACCCAGCCTGTCTCTCTTCCCGCGCCTCGTTTTGACAGTTAAACCGCCTTTCCCGCTTCCCCTATCACGGAGCGCATGTGACCCGTCCCCTCTCCCCCTCTGCGCCCCCCTTATAGCTTGGTGACTTGTCCCGCCTCTCATTCTCTGGAAGGTTTCTGATTCCTCCGGTTTGGGTTTTACTTCTTCCCTTCGTGCTTCACGTGACTCTACAGACGTGACTCGGGATTGGTCAAGCTTTGGGGACTATCCGTCAGACAGCCAATGGGTGCATTCTGCCCGCCCGAATCCAAGATGGCGGCTCTGGGGACTGGGAACGGGACCCCGGGAAGGAGGAGGTGAAACGGTCTCGGCCGGAGGATTCGGGCCCCACTGCTCCGGTTCGTCCCCTCTCCCTACCGGAGCCAGCGGGGGTCTCAGCCTCTGTCCGAGGTATGGCCGCGGAAAGCAACAAGCAGTTCTGGAAGCGGAGCGCGAAGCTACCGGGCAGGTGAGTAAAGGAGGCTCTGTGCCGGTATCGATGCCGACGGATCGTTTGTTCTCTGGGGAGCAGAGTCGACTAGTGAAGCCGGCTTAGCGCCTAGTTTTCGCCGCCATTCATTTCTCGCGGGTGAAGGGTCGAGGCTCTGCTTCTGAAGCGAATAGTTGCTTCTGTCCGTCGCTTCTGTGGATGGAGGAGGAAGGGGGAGAACCCTGGGGGTGGTCTGAAGCGGGATTTCCCTTTGCCTGGATCGAGGGCATGAGATGTCGGCAGCATCCCGCAGTCCTGTCCCCTTTTCCCACCCGGTGATGTGACGCCCAGTCTGTTAAAGTGGTGGGGCAACTACTTGCTCGGCTCTCAGGTTCCAAGCCCGCCTCGGGGAATGCGATGCCCCGGTCACCTCTGCCTTGCGGGCCGCGTTGGTGGCTGGGAGTCAGTCGAGGTAGCGCTATAGACAGGTGCAGACCGTGCTGCTTTCCCCAGAAGGCGAAGCCGCCCGCGTCTTCATTTGTGTAGGTTAATCAGTTTGCATCTATGTAATGCTTATTAGGCCAATGCTTTTTGCGGAGAGTTCCGATTAAAGTTAAAATACAAACCCGAACATTAATCGGTCGTACTTAAAACGAACTAATGTGTTAGGCCGACTGTAGAGCAGTGATTGCCAAACTTTTCCCTATTAGCATCGGCCCAGAAAGTCCCCCGGAGAACTTCCATAACGCAAGGCCGGTTTTGTAAGCATGGGAGCAGAAGACGTAAACTTTCAATCCTCTTAGGGAGTTGTTCCATTTTTAAAGATGCGACAGACACCTGTTGTAACCCCTTACCCATAAAACTTAAGGGGGAGACTCTAATATTTGAATCATAATGAGTTGGAGGGATTTTTGTCCCCCTACTTCTTTCTGTCCTCCCATAAGCCCAATATGTAAGGAGTGCTGAACAAATACAGGTTTCTTTTACCTTCATCAAGCCAAGCCCTTACTAGCAAGTGGTTTCGGCTGCTGTTAAAATCTGTGCATAAACTTCTTCCAGCTCTTTTCACATACAAGATCATATTCTTGGACTTCAGCAGTAGTTCTGTTGGAATGTTTTTCTCCTTAATCATACCATTTGGATTTTGAGCTTTGATTAGATTTCTTCCTTTTACCAATTAAAAGTGTGAGAAAACTGAATAAGTTTTGGCAATCTTAAAGGAATTAAGAAATAATGAATAATGGATTGGTGCAAGCAGAAATAAATATGCTGCTAAGAAAAGCATAGGGAAACTAAGAAGTTGTCTTCATGTATAGCTACTTGGGGCAAGGGCTCTATAGTTCACAGACTGGTCCTCTAACCTTGTCTTGACCATGTAACTATCACTGTGAAGTGTCTAGAATGCTTTGCTAGCTTTAAATTGTGCCTAAGTAGGTAATTCTTGTTTCTATCTTTACTACTCTCTAGCTTCTCTGGCTACAAGAATGCTTGGATAGTTCAGAAGTCTAGGAGCATTGCAGACGAATGTTGTATAATATGTGCTCTTGAGAAGAAAGGGACAATATTATTTTTGTAAGTGCACTAGCAGCTTGTTATCTTGGGTGTCTTATCATAGTCCCACATCCTGCTTGCATATGAATCTGCCCTTCTGTGAAACAACAATTCACTTGCATCTATAGTTTTTTAAACAGTAAAGTTGACTCAACCAGCTAAACTGGTTTGGGGAAGGCAAATGAGTCAACTTGAACCTGAGCCCAACCAGTAAACATAAACTTCTTCTATTTTTGGTGTGAGCACTTTGCAGGACCATAAATGCTGTGATATCTCACACCAATAGAAGGGAGTTTTTAAATCAGCTGGAGTGCAAGGTTTGCCCTTTACAGAATTCTTTTATGAAGCCCTGAAGTTTGATAATTTTTATCAGATAATGGCAAATTTATACAGTGTTTCCAAACCTGGCTGTCTCACTCCTCTTAGAGCTGCGTAATATGAATATACCTAAGTTGCTTATAATAGACATAGTTTGCCATTTTGTATACATTTTAATCTGTGCTGGAAAAAAATGAGCTTATGACCTGTTCCCCCATCAGGCAGCAAGTTCCAGGCTAAGCAGGAAAAAAAATCACTTGGCATACATAGAACTCTGTCAGCTGGCTTCTGTTAAATCTGCTAAAAGGGAAGGAAGAGATATTTTGATTTGGGCCAAAATGTGGTGGAAACAAAGAGTTGCTTATCAAGATGGGAAATCACTCCCACGTGATCTCTTTGCACCAAGTAAAGGAGAGGTATCTAGAATAGATTGTTAATCTAGAACTGTTATTGCTTTTCCTTGTAGCTGGATAGCTTAATTAAGAATGCTTACTAAATTGGTCCTTAAAATGTCTGCATAGTTTTGTCGTTATACTCCTGTTCTCTGTTTCAATGTGTTACACTCTTACAATTATGATGCCCAGTTATACATCTCTGCCTCCAGCTGTCCAAGTGCAACTGTCAAAGTTCTGTCCTAGTGTCTAGAGACTGTTGAAGATCTGGATAGGGAAGCATAGGTTGCAGCTGAACCCTGCCATGACAGAGTGGTTCTGGATTCTGGATCTGGATGTTTCCATCTTTCATTCTGGATGGGGTTGACATTGCCTGTTCAGACTTGAGGTGCAATCTGAGGGCCCTCCTAGACTCACACTAACAGCATGTAGCAGCTGTAGCCAGGAGGACCTTTGCACAACTGTGTCTTGTGCACCAGTTGCACCCATTCCTGGACTAGGAGGCCCTGTTCATGGTCACTCATGCCTTAGTCACTTCCCAACTGGACTACTGCAATTGGACTACTGCAACACATAGGGCTGCTCTTGAAGACCATCTGGAAGTTTCAGTTGGTCCAGAATGCAGCAGCGCAGGTAGTTATGAGTGCAGCTATTTACGCCCATATAACATTACTACTCCGTGAGCTGCACTGGCTCCTAGTAGGCTTCTGGGTGCAATTCAAGATGCTGGTTATCGCCTTTAAAGCTGTACTTAGCATAGGATTGGGTTACTTGTGGGATCATCTTCTCCCAAGAACATCTGCCCACCCCACATGCTCCCATAGGGAGGGCATGCTCCAAGTTCCCTCTTTTAAACTTTCCCGTCTCATGGGACTTAGGAAGTGTGCCTTTTCTATGGCTACCCCCATGCTCTGGAACAATCCCCCCTCCCAATATACGACAGGTCCCAATTCTACTTGCCTTTAGAAAAGCAGTTAAGGCCTGGCTTTTTCCCCAGGCATTTGGATCCAGTTGAGTGGAATCCCTTTTTGGCTGCTTAATTATTGTGTTAGGTTGCCATTTTATCTTTTATATATAGTAGGGATTTTTACATTATGTGAGATGGGGGGTTTTGGTTTATTGTTTGTTTTTTGCTGTGTACCACCCAAAGCCACATTGTTTGATTTGGGCAGCCCTATAAGTCCAATCAATCCATCAATCAATCAATAAGTTTTCTTTGTGAAATGGACATTTGTATTCTTAAGTCGTGGAATCCTACTGGAGCAAAAGCAGTATAAAATAATTCTTTTTTTTTTAAAAGAATAATAAGAAATCTTATATACAAACTACAAAATCCTCATACTAATTTCACACATCATGCTAAGTCAGGATTTGTTAAACCTATGGTTTATTGAATAACCCATAGTGATCTGATCCTTATGTAACCTAAATCACAGTGGTGTGGTTTATTATTTCTTTAAACTATTTCTATAATGGTTCTCATGTCAAAAGGCAAGATTTACACATTAGTTGCTGGGCTCAGAACAACCATATTATGTTTTATGTGAAGCACCAAACCCAGCCACTCTAATATTGTGACTAGGGTTGAAAATATGTTCTGCAATTAACTGCTAACTTTTTACAACCCCACTCTTATATTACCATAGCAGTTCAAAAGAAGTATCTGTCCTCCTCTTAAAAGAACTGCTCTTCAACTCTGTATGATTTTGAACCTTTGAGGATGCTGAAGTTGTTTTCGTGGTTATTTGTGAAGTTATTCACAAATCCAGTGCTGTGTGTTGAACTAGAGTGAGGGAGTCCCAATTTCAAGTTCACCTTCAGCCATCAAAGCTCACTGGATTATTTTGAGCCAGACCCAAACTCTCAGCCCATTCTGCCTCACAGAAATGTTGTAGAAGAAACTTGAGGACAAAGTAGGCTGCCTTGGGCTATTGAAGGAAAGGCGGGATATACATCTAATGAATACATTAATTAATTGTCTCTCTTGTCTCTTTTACAGTATTCAACCTGTTTATGGAGCTCAGCATCCTCCACTGGACCCACGGCTCACTAAAAAGTAAGTACTCTTCCTTCATCTTTTTAGAAGGAAGGCTCTTAGCACCCATCATAGGGTGTACTTTATTTTACTTTGGAAGGGAAACTTATTTTACACTCTTGGAATGCCATACATGGGAGGAGGTAGTTACAAAAACAAACAGCACATCAGAATGGTGCCTTACATGAATGTATTGATTTAAATAGAACATGCAACACATATATGTAGTAAAAATGACAAATTATTCTATGTCCTCTGTGAGGAAGCATGTTTACAATAGGAAAACATATTGGGAAAACATATTGGTTGATGATGTTCTATTGAAG